GATCAGGGCTAGGTCATGAAACCCTTCAACAAACTTACTAGGATCTTCAGAAAATTGGCCCAGTTTCTGTTTGCATTGGGTTAAGTCAGTTAAAGAGAACAGCACATGTATACTCTGATTGTTCCTTCACCATTTGCCTCTTCCCTAAGAGGGCATGATTTTTCCACTCCTCGGAGATAAGAAGTCCCAACATGGGTCACCCTGCAGGACTATTCTCTCGAATCTGGGGTTATCAGATTGTGGGATATAAGGGGACATAGGGAGGCGGAATTGGGGATTGGTCAGAAGGACCAGGAGAAGTTGTTGGCTTTGGAGAATCAAGTTGCTCTAAGTAGAGACCCTGTTAGGAGTGGGAGGAGCTGGGTTAGCATCCTGACAGAATGGGAATCATCTAAAATGCCAGGAAAGCTTTCTGATTCCTGAGGCTTTAAATGGTAAGATCCATATAGGGCAGGATTCTGGTAAAGAAACAAAGCAAAAGCTTGACCATAGGGAACCTCAGTCTATTTCCCATTTTGTGATAGTAAAGATCAAATTGTGAGATATTATTATAAGTTAGGGACCCATTTTCAGGCCATTTTTCTCCATTTCCCAGCTAATACAAAGGTCAGGCACTGCTACAGTAAGATTTAAGTTTCTCCTTTCTTGGCCTTTCTGTCTTAAAAAATTTCCAGTTCCTAAGAACACATTCCAGGGGTGTTTCTTCTGGCTTTGAAGGGGACTGTCCCATGTCGAGTAACCTGCAACTGAGAACAGAGTGCTCCTAGAAGTGTAATCCAGCGTCCTAGATACCTTTAGGAGGCACCAGAAGGGGTTCAGAGCATCCCTGCGGTTCTCTTCGATCTTATTGCTTGACGGGGTTTTGAGCATCTTCTGCTCCCCCATTGAATCATGGTCAGACGTTTCTCTGGCCCCCTTGAGACCCTGTGCAAGGTGCCCAACCCAGCACTGCTGGAGGACTTTTGAGCCAGTATAGACTGGTTGCCAGGGCTTGGCTTAGAAAGGAATCCCTTGCCTGGAAAATCCCAAGGACAGAGTAACCTGGCAGGCTACATACAGTCCATGGGTCACAGAGTCAGACACGACTGTGCATGCACACACATGCACACACACACTTTGTTTATAGAACTTATGTCCTGTGATAAGTCTCCCTATGCTGGGGTGTATTCCTTGAGACTGAGCATCTATGACGTTCATAATTTGGGCCTTTGGGGGTGGCCAGCCCAATAGGCTGTCCATAGCAGTATGGAGGTTGCCAAGGCCTGGAGTAAGGGAGGGGTGTGTTCTGATAGATGCAAAGAGAAACGCTTGCAGAAACTGGAGTTGGACGATCAGAAGATGGCATGGGGTTCCGGGCTTGAGGGCCAAGTGGAAAAATCCTCATAGTAGATTTCTGGGCATTGAGTGAGGTGGGAGACTAGACAGCAGAAAAATCCAAAATCCTTTGCCCTGTCTCGCAGCTATGACAGAAGTGGGTACCATCTGACAGTTCTGTCTGACACAGGCAGCACTGGGGTTGACGGCGGTAGGGTCGCAGCCTACGAGTGTTATCCAGGAAACGCTTTCCTAAAAGGGCGTGGAGATCTGAGGCGAGAAAGAAACCTGGTTGTGTGAGGGAAGTGGAAGAAAAAGGCACAGTGGAGGGTCCCATGTGGGACAGAGAGAAGGAATGTGAGAGAGGGGGAGAAAGAGACACAAAAGACACCTTGGGTTCCCAGGACTGAAGCTCACCGGGGCTGTGAAGGGAACCATGGGTATGTGACTCTTGGGCAGATGCAGCCAGGGGGAGCATGGGGAGAGAGGAGACAGGCCTGAGGACGCAGCATGTAAGGGTGAGCACAGCGTCCCCGAATCCACGGGCAGTGGCGGTGCCCGGAAGGAGCTACCAGGGTGTGTGGGGCCAGATGGGGGGCTCCAGCAGCTGAGGCAGTGACTGCTGGAGCAGGGCAGAGCGTCAGGGGCTGCGCTGTCCTTGCGATGGGAGAACATGGGGTCCGGGAGGAGTTTCTTGTGCGGATGGGAGACACCTGAGGTGTCTTTACTGCTGATGGGAAAGCCTTGGAGAGACAGAAAGGTTGCCCAGAGCGACCTAAAGGTCTGTGTCTAGGAGTGGACAGTCTTTCCAGATGGAGGTGACCCCCACCCACTAAGCCCAGCTGCCTGAGGAGTGAAGGAGGTGACAGTCACCCAGCTGGAGGGGGACAAGCGGGTCTGTCCTGGACAGTGCCCTGGCTGGTGGGAGCAGGGCTGGGAGCCTGGGAGCCCTGGGGAGCTGGCCTGAGGCTCACCCCCACTCTTCCCTTTTCTCCCTGCCTCTCTCCTCTCCCTTTCCCTCTCTCTGACCCGAAGTCACAGATTACCTGCTAGCTTAGTTTTGCTTCTCACATTAACGTCTAGACAGCACTATCCAAGGGAAATATAATGGGAGCCACCTATGGGATTTACAATTCTCTAGTGGTCGTATTTTTTAAAAAGTAAAACAAGCAAAAACCCAAACAAGGACTTCCCTGGTGGTCCGGTGGTTGAGAAGCAGCATCCCAATGCAGGGGACACAGATTCAATCCCTGGTCTGGGAAGATTACACATGCCTCAGGGGAATTAAGCCCATGCTCTGCGACAGAGAGAGACCACCACAAAGAGAAGCCTGCGCACCCCAACCAAGACCCAGCACAGCCAAAAATAAAAATAAATAAAAATTATAAAAAAATCCCAGGTGAAGTCAATTTTAGTAACATTTTATTTAACCCAATATATGCAAAATGTTATCTTGACATAAAACCAATATAAAAATTAGATAATTTTACATTTTTTTCATAGTAAGACTTCAAAATCCTGTGTATATTCTATGGTTGTATAATAGAATATCTCAATTCAGGTACTAAATTTTCATCAGAAATACTTGGCCTATATCTCGATTTCATAAAATTTATATTTGAAAAGGCAGGTTCACATACCCACAGGCTCCAGCACACAACATCAGTTTTCCTATGATGGTCTGAGACCCTGCTGGTCTGGAAGCCCGTGGCTCTGGGCTCTGTCCTGGAGCTTTTCTTCTGAGCACCTAGCCCACTCTGTAATGAGGTCTGCCTTTGTCACTGCTATTGTTCTCAACAAAGTGCACATAGTTAAGTACCCACAGAATATTTGCTGAATAAATATATTTACATAAAAATTAAAAAAACCCAGAATCTCCCCCTCTCCTTAGATGATGCACCGGTCTACAAAGACGTAAGCGGTCGGAAAACAGTGGGTCTTTCCCATCCTTCTCAGTGGTTGAGGGGCAAAGGCTTTTGATCCCATCGCCCCTCTGCACAGAACAACTGGGAAACAGGACAGCCCCCCGCACCCCAACCTGCTGTCACACCAAACTCACACCCACACCCACACTTGCCCCCTCTCCACTCAGTCCTGACTTCCCCAGGGCTGCTTTAAAACAGTGCCAAAGGTGGCAGGGCTCACTTGGGTCCCTGGGTCATGTTTTCTGTTTGCCGTGAGTTACTTTCAACCTGATCAGGACCTTTCTAGCACCCCATAAAGACTCACCAGGACCAAGAGAGAAGGGGACCAGTTCCTGCTCAGTCAGGCCTCACTGGCCACCCCAAGCTCCAACCCCAGCTCCTGAGACCCCATCCATCCTGCAAGGCCGGGGTGTTCCAGCTCGAGGCTGGGCTCTCTGCCTCTCGGATGCATTGTCTTTCACCACCTTGTCTGCTTTGCCCTCCTTTGCATCCCAGACTCCGAGTTCACCTGCTCATTTGATATGACACCCAGTAGGGGGCTGGCAGAGCTCGAGTGCCCCCGCTGCTGGGCAGTGATGAGATCCAGAGGTCACTGAACTTGCCAAGTATATTTGTAACATGTGATAAAGCAGAAATATAAAAAAACTCACTTAGGGAATAAAATGTTCTCCCTGAAGGCAGGAAGAAGACAGGGATACAAATGTGGTCCTGTAGGTGACAGGACAACAGCGTTGTCCCACAGACAATCCACCTCCCGAGCATTGACCTGGAGGCTCTTGGGGCTGCTGCTGCCTGTCAGCCTATCTACAGATTACTGGATGGTTGGCACAAATCCCCTTGAAATAACAGCAAAATTATGTGCTAGGCCATCTCCTAGGAGATGATACATAGTTTTATATCCTGGTGAGTCTATCACCTATAAAATGAAAATAAATTAGAATTCTTTTATACTGTTGAACAAGTTTAATAAAATGTAAAAGAACCTCACTACAACTGACCCAAATTCATTCTTTTCTGTGGCTGAGTAATGTTCCATTGTCTGTATGTACCACATCTTTATCCATTCATCTGTTGATGGACATCTAGGTTGCTTCCATGTCCTGGCTAAACAGTGCTGCTATGAACGCTGGGGTACATGACAGAATAGAGCCTGTTATACAGAGTGAAGTCAGAAAAAGAAAAACAAATATTGTTTACTAATGCATATATATGGAATCTAGAAAAATAGCATCAATGAGCTTATCTGCAGGGAAAGAATGGAGACGCGGACATAGAGAACGGACTTGTGGACACAGTCGGGGAAGGACAGGGTGGGATGGATTGAGAAAGTAGCGCTGATATATATACACTACCAGGTGTAAGACAGAGAGCTCGTGGGAGGCTGCTGTGTAACCCCAGGGGCTACGCCTCACGCTCTGTGACGATCTAGAGGGGTGGGGAAGGCCGGGAAAGGGTGGGAGGTGAGAGAGAGGGGAGATATATATATGTAATGATGGCTTATTCTTGCTGTTGTAGAGCAGAAACCAACACAACACTGTAAAGCAATTATCCTCCAATTAAAAAAAATTTTTTTAAGTGTAAAAGGACAATGATTTTCTATTTCAACTTCCCACTGAGCAACCAAAGAGCACAGGCTCTTTATACAGGACCAGGGGCCAACTGCAGGGGCGGGGCGTCTGTCTGCCCACCTGAAACCACACAGGCCTTAGCTGTCAGGGGTTCAGTAAAAGGATGTGACAGGACTCTACCCTCATACACTGTTTAGGATCTCCTGCAGCCTTTGACCAGCAGGCCGGGGACCAGCAGCCCCAGACGGCTGGCATTACTGCCAGGATGGCCTGGGAACAGTCCGAGAGGCCGGGTGATCCAGCTGAGGCGGCGGCACAGGGCAGGGTGGGAGCAGGGCCCTGCATCCTTCTCGGAGGTGACGGTGGGGCAGGGGCCCCCCGCCCCCACATCGTGCTCAAAGTCAACGCTGTCAAACGAGGAGGGAGGCAACATGGCCCCAGGAAAATGACCTTCCCAGGAGGATAGAGAAGGGCTGGTGGGGAGACAGCAGCACAGATTTTGTACAACTTCATGGGGCATGCAGACCAGCCCGTTTTTTTTTTGCCAAATGATAAAATACCACCCACTGTGAACGCACAGGTCTCATGCTGCTGCTTCCATTCAAGGCTCAGCCAATTAAACTGACTCATCGAGGGCTGGCTGAGTGCTGGGCCTGCCTGCCCTTCCCCTGGAGACCAGCCAGCTTTGCCAGGTCACCTGTGAGCCTGAGCAGTGGGTCTCAGGGGAGCAGTGGAGTCCAGCTCAGTGGTAATAGGGTCAGAGGGTGTGCACTGGCTAAATATAGCTCAGCAGCACATTTTTAAAATAGAGAAAAATGTAAAAACCTGGGTTAAATTTCTGAGACCATTTATTTCTTCTGGACCCTGTGGGGGTGGGTGGGATCTGCCCTCCCCCACCCCTCCCTGTCCTGGGTAAGGTGGAGCCCTCCCCCAGGGGCCCTAGCCCGGGGGCCCCCGCAGGCCCTGGAGGGTGGTGGGCGGTGGCTGCATGTCACAGTAGCTGAAGCAGCAGGCATCCAGCAGGTCGTGCTGAGAGGTAACCTCCAGGCAGCGGTCCTCGGAAGCTCTGGTGTTCTCCCTGGGGCCTGTCCTCTCCAGCGTGGCCTGGAGAAGTTCTCGGATCCTCCGGTTTTCCTTGAACGTGGACTCCCACACAACCTCCAGCTCGCCTTCCACTTCTCTGAGAGAAATAAGCAACACAAAGAAAATGTTTAAAATAACACAATTTAATACTTACAGAGCCCATAAGAAAAAGTCACAAGAACCCAAGTGGAAGAACGATTACTGTCGGAGAACAGAGCCCATTGTGTGTGCGTTCTGAAGCAGAGACTCCCAGTGCTGAAAGAAACCGAAGTGCTCTGCAAACCAAACAAAATACAAAGGCGCAGGCTGAAAATGACGTCTTAGCTCTCTTGTTTTCCTTTATTTTGGCCCCAGTGCACACACCCTCTGCTCTCTGTGGCATTAATGTACAACAAACATGTAACAACTCCAGAGGCTGACCTACAGCACAGTGTCCTGGCTGTGGGCGCCCACACACCACGGGCCTGCAGGCCTCTTCTGTGTCCCCTCTGCCTGTCCCCACTGTGACCCGGCCAACACGCAGGTGCCTTCCATAGCTCCATCCACAGAGCCACTGATGGGCCCAGACAGAGAGTGAGTGGGGAGCAAGGAGGGGACTGTGGGGAGTGGGGATCACGGCCCAGGACACAGTGAAGACCGGCCCAGACTGTGTGCCAGGAGGGCGAGTGTCCAGAGGGATCCAAGGCCGCTGAAAAATGGAAAATCCTGAGCCAGGGCTCTGTGAGGGGCCCCGCGTAGGGGGCAGACAGGGCACACATGTCCTCAGAGGGCTGCGGCCCACCGAGGGAGCAGACCAGACAGCAGCCACTGCCTCCCGGCAGCCCCTCGGGGAGGGAAAAGCAAGCCTTGGCCTTGGAGGAGCAGGCCTCGGGGAGGACAGCACGGCTGGGGAGGCGGCTCCTTCACAGGCACTGCCAGCTGGTCATGCAAAGTGCTACAAACTGGGTTGTCGGGTGGACTCAGCACTGCTGTCTAGAGAGGAGGACACCAACTTCCAGTGCAGGGGGCATGGGTTCGATTCCTGGTTAGGGAGCTAAGATTTCACATGCACAGCCAAACAAAAAAATAAATTAAAAATAAAAAGAGGAGGGCACGAAGATTCAGGGAGGCCAGTGACACGCCCACTCATTCAATGTCATTTTCCTTGTGAACTGTTGCTCCTTCCAAAGCCCATGATGCTGAGTGCTGGGTACTATTTAATTAAACTATGTATAAAAATTCCCAGGCTTCTGTTTTCAGACAAAACACCCAAATGTTTGCTACATCATGATAATGTACAGCTAAACTCAAAATAAAGTGAGAAGGAAATTTCTAAGGGCAGAAAAAAAATATGAAGACTAAACTGAAGCAGAAGCAGGCAAACAAAATGCTGGTATTGTTTTGAGGACAAAAGCCCATGCTCTAAAGAAACCCAGACTTCCAAAGAAAGCAGACTAGTCTTGGGCCCATGCAAACTGGGTGCAACAGAAAATCCCAGGGCTGACTCACATCCATGTTTCTCTCCTCTTCTTCCTAGTGACACTCAACTGTGTATCCCAGAATTATGCAGGTAAGTGGAGATAGGTGAAGCACCCTCAGAGAAAGGATGGTTGGGTGGAAAAATCTGCCAGTCTTCAAAAGAAAGCTGCTCTGAGAGGCTCTTTGGGGGCTGTAGCCACTGATTTGTTCTCAAATGAATGTGGGGTTTGAATCTACATTGCTCCCCACTGTAAAGCATTCCCAGGCCCTGACTGGAGTGAACCAAAAGTAAAAAGGCATTTTTGAGGCAATCAGGGAAAAAACTCAATGGAAGAGTTAAAAGTACATTAGATAAAACCAGAGGCAGAATTAATGAAGTGGAATATTGAGCAGAGGAAATCACCCAGGAATGCAGCTCAGAAAAATATACGTTAAGAAGTTAAACATTAATTATCAATGTAATAATGGTATTGAGAATTTTTTTTGGGGGGGGGCTAAGTCTCATGGCTTGCAGGATCTTAGTTCAACAACTAGGGACTGAAGCCACAGTGAATGATGAAGTCCTAACCATTAGACTGCCAAGAAATTTCCTATGACTATCTTAAAAACCTTTTTGTATTAAAAAAAGAAAAAAAACACTACAATAGTTTTTTTTAAGTTAATAATAAAATTAAAGTGACTGCAGGTTTGAAAGGACTCTCTGGCACCAAGAGAAGCAAATGCAAACCTTTTCTGGAGAAAAACGTCCTCAATCCAGATCCCCAGGACTCCACAGAGTAAATTCAACCATTCATGGGTTCATAGTAAAAAAATTACAGTTCAGAGAATGAAATGAGCCACATAGGGCAAGAGTCAACAAGACCCCCAAATTCCAGATAAAGAAGCTGGCACAGAATATAAAATAACTATGAATAAAATGTTAAAAGAAATAAAAGATGTACTAAAGATAAGCAAAGATCAAGAATTTATTTTAAAAATCTCTAGGGAGATTTTCAAAGAACCAAACAGGACTTCTGAAATTGAAATATACAGTTGTTGAAATAAAAAATCTCAATGTCTGGGTTAAACACACACTGAACAAAACTGAAGAAAAACTAGTAAATAGAAATATTGTGGAGAATTACCCAGAGTGTAGATCCCCCCAAAAAACCCCAAGGAGATAGAAAATGTCAAAGATAAGACACATGGAAGATTCAGTAAGGAAGTATAACATACATTTAATCTGAGTTCCAGAAGGAAATCTAGAAACAATATGGGGAAAAACACTTAATTCAAGAAATAATGACTGAAAAATTTCAAGAAGTAATGAAAGGCACAAAATCACAGATATAGAGAATAACTTATACCAAGTAGTTGAGTAAAACAAACTCATAGTCAGACACAATGGAGGGGACTTCACTGGTGGCTCACTGGCTGAGACTCTGTGTTCCTAACGCAGGGGACCCATTTGATCCCTGGTCAGGGAACTAGACCCTGCGTGCCACAACAAGATCGAAGATCCTCCATGCCACAACTAGGACTCGGTGCAGCCATATAAATAAATAAATATTCTAAAAACTCAACACAGTGGAGCTGCAGACTATAAGAGTCAAGAGGAATTCTTAAAGGAGGCAAGAGATACAATGATCATCTAGTTTTAAAAATGACAAAAAAGACTTCTCAGCAGTAATAATGAAACAGAGGAGACAGTGAAACGTGTTGAGAGAAAAGACTGTTGAGGTAGAATCCAGCTTCCAGCAAACATCAGCTCATAAAGACGAGGCCAAAATGCAGACACTGTCAGATAAACAAAAACTAAGAAAGCTGACTGTCACACTAAAGAAACTTCTAAAGTATTGTACTTTAGGAAGGAGAAAAATACTCTGAGAAACAGGGTTTTTGATGCAAAAAAGAATAATAAGCAAAGAAACTGGTAAACTGTGGGTGAATCAAAATAAACAACTCTATTAAAACTAGTAATATGCAGTTTCTGGGGGTAAAATGATATAAAATAGGTATTTTCTTTTCACCTTCATATATCTGTACTTACATGTAATGACAATAGACAAAAATAGCATATACACTGAGTGGGGAAATAATCAGAGTGTTAGATCTTGCATTTGGTGGTAGAAATGTAGAGGCGCTGATTAACTTTAGATTTTTTTTAATGTTAAGTACCCACAGTGAAATTTCAAAGGAAACCACTAAAAGAATAAAAATAGAATATCTAATTTTTGAACCATTAAAGGGCAAAAAAATAGAATCAGGGAACAGGTATAAAACAAAGTTCCATTTTATTAATGCAATTCTAAACCACTTGTCTGGCAAGAAACATGGTATCATTCCAACTTTTACAAAATGACCATTCATGGTGGTAAGAACTTCTGTGACTATAGAAAACCTGTTAGATAACAGTTTACTCTGCCTGGCATTAAAAAGCATCTGGTTGACAGAAAATAAACAGCTTTCTGCATTCTGCTTGGTACTAATACACAGATTCTATCGTAACTTGAAGTCACGTCTGAGTGTCATGCTTTCTCTCCATGCATCAGTTTATGTTCCAATCTGTCAAAGACAACACAGTCATTCTGAAAAGGCCAAGACAAGTGCTCGGGCCTGGTGCACTGGGAAGACCCAGAGGGATTGGGTGGAGAGGGAGGTGGGAGGGGGGACCGGGATGGGGAATACATGTAAAAAAAAAAAAAAAAGATACACTATGGTTGTGATAAAAATAAATAAATAAATAAATTAAAAAAAAAAAAAAAAGTGAACCCAAACTACTTGAGGGGACTGCCATGTTCACCTTCACAAAACATGCGCTATTTCCCAGGGTTGGTTTTCAACACACTGGCAATACCTCCTCTGTCACATGAGGAGCCAGAGAGAACATGATATACCCATAATCTTCTGACTGTGATCTTGTAAAAAGGGAAGAATCTGAAATTTCAAGGTTCTCAAAAATGAGAATGTAATAGCAGAAATAAAATATTTAATCGAAAA